ACTGCTTTTCTTTTAATTTAGCAACACTCTTTTTGGGAGATTCCATAGTTCACACCGAATAGAAACAATTGTAGGTTTCATTTCTAATGCTTGCATAACAAAAGGGCTAGACGTAATTAGTGTGGATATTTCATGTGACAGTGATTGTGTGCATGTAGTTTATAATTGGAATGATTGTTCAGGGTTAACAAGGCCTCACTTCACTGTCAACATGTACTTACTTCATTTGGAATGCAGCCCATACATTGCGTTCACCATTAATTCAATGACTATTTCAGGGAAACTTACTAAAGAGATTGCCAAATAAAATCACAGTTACTTTATTATCTTAGTATAGTATATCTCAGAACAGTAGCCTAAGAAAAATGGATGTCTAGGGAAAACCCAAAGCAGATTCTTAGCCATGTTAGGAGAAAATGCAATTGTATTGCTTCTTGATGATGCCATTCACAACTGGGCTTCACTGCCATTATTTATTCACGCATTCACTACCCCAGAGAAACCATCTTTATCCTTAAAGGACCAACAGTAAAGGAGTAGGGAAAGAAAAACGTCACAAACAAAATTATATAAGAGAAGGATGCAAATGTAGTTGTGTTTTAGATATTAGGGGAGCCGTGAAGGAGTGTGCACACACCTTGGAGAAAAGACTGGAAACCGTGAGCTGACAGAGAAACCACCAGCACTGGCACAGGTGGGGGCTTGAGGAGGGACAGGTGCAATAATGGCACACAAACAAAGTCAACAGCACCTGGTGATGAACTTGATGGGGGAGGGGCATGTGTGTAAAGAGTTCAGGATCTCACCTCAGTCAAGTGGGTACCACAGGAGTGTACTGGATTGGCCAGTCAAGTCATCTGGGAGACTTGAAGCAGGCGATGGAAGTAGAAGTCAAACCGCTCTTTATTACAACAGTCAAGAAGAGGGGAGACAGGGAAATGAAATGGTTAGATTCCTTTATGTTACATGGCCCATCTACACTTGTCCGGGATAACAGGAAACCAATAGAAGGATGAGAGTCAAGCGCAGTAGCGCTGCAGGCTGTGATGCTGGGAGATTAGCATCCTCTGCAAAGTCAGCAGAGCTCACAAACAGAAATGGTTAGAATTCCCTAAAGAATTTTCTAAGACCAGCTCTGTGAAATAATGTGTGCTATTCATTCTCTGATTAAATGGGGGGGGGGGGGGGAAGGGAAAGAGATTCCCATAGGCAACCTTAGGGGAATGTAACATTTGCTCTCAATCATAGGAATTGATAGTGAAGACACATCTGCATGCAGTGTGGCATGTCATAACACACCATCCAGCTATTTGAAAAACATCAAGTACATAAACCATCAGCCAAAATAACGGAATGTAACAGGCAGTTTGTGGAGAAGAAGAGTGTTGTTAGCTCTGTGGTTCCAGCACTAAATGTCCAATCAAAGCTCAATAAATTCATAATTAAAAACACCACTTGAAGAGGCAGCCATTTAGGTGCTCAGAGCAGATCCATGATAATGTATATGTGTGTATTGTCACTAAAATAACCCAGTTATTTAGTAACATTTCAGGGTTAGTATATCATTTCACTAGGTTTTTCAAAAACATTTATTTACAACAAGTAATGTGTATTTGTTCAAATATGTAATATTATGTACAGAAAAACTGACTATTCCAGATAACACTTCTAACTAGTGATTAGGAGAAAGACAATTACTTAATTATGCAACCACGGGGCTTCTGGTCATTACTGTTTCATAGTATTACATGCAAAAGTGCATGATGGGCTGTAGAGACGGGAAGACAGAAAAGGCATGTTTCCTATTGTTTGTAGTGTTTCAAGGATGCAATGCCAAAATTCAAAGGACATGTATAATAAATGAGAGGTAAAGAAAGGACAACAAGGGTAAACCAGAGAAACAGTTAAAAATTTGGTTCTAATTTTTGTTTATTCTTCTCTCATAAAATATGTCCCTACCACAGCTTCCCCTCCCTCCACGCCTCCAGTCCTCTAACCCCCCCCCACACCCCCATTCACCCCTTGATCTATTCCTCCCCTCCTTCCTCCAGATAAGAGCAGGCCGCCCAGGTACATCAACTCAACATGGCACAACAAGATAAAAGAAGACCAGGAACATACCCTCATACCAAGGTTGGACAACCCAGTAGAAGGGGTCCCAAGACAACTGTCAAGGTGAAAATTTAAACATTAAACCCAGTGGGTGGGCTGATGAATTTATTTTGCTTTTGGAAATCACACAGTAATAGACATTTGTTAATGGTGCCCTCAACATTAATAAAGTCCACTTTTTTTTTTCCTTTTTGGATTTTCAAGACATGGCTTCTCTGTGTAACAGCCCTGGCTGTCTGGAACTGGCTCTGTAGACCAGGCTGGCCTTGAATTCACAGAGATCTACCTGCCTCTGCCTCCTGGGTGCTGGGATTAAAGGAGTGTACCACCACCGTCCAGCTAATAAAGTCCACTTTCAGACAGGGACAGGAGGGTTACCCACAGGCAGGTTTAGATTAACCCCGATTAGTTAAGCATAACCTATTCTCCTAAGACTGATTCAATAATGAACATGATGATGATTGTATGAAATAAAATCTGGTGGATCATTTTGCAGAGGTACCTCAAGTCAGAAAATACTAGACCCTTACTAAAGCCTGATAGTCTAGCTACACCCCCACCCACTCAGACTCTACTAAATTTAAATGCACCCACAAATGCTACAAGTTTAGAATTCAAAAGTACTAATAGCTAAGCTTGCCTATAAGGTCACACATCTGATAAGCTTGACAATCAGAAGGTTGTAAAATGTAGAGATGATGCCCATGTGGGGTGTCTTCTTGAGAAAAAGTCAAAGATGAGTGAAGTAAGGGCAGGTAGGACATAGATGGCCAGTACGATCGCTCCTCCCGGTTCCTCAGCCAGAGAGGAGAGAAAGGAGGGGGCTTGCTTTCATTAGGGTTGAAAGCTGTCCTCTGCACTCAACAGCACTCTTGGCTTCTCAGCTGACGTCAGACTTTCCAAAGCTGTAAAATAAACTGCCCCACTTTCTATACTCTGGTGCTCCTTTTGTGAAGCAAGGATTTAAATTTTTTTCATACAGTATATTTTGACCATGCTTCCCTCTCCCAGGTCCTCCCAGCTTCCTCGATACACATCCAACTTTATGACCCCCTCTCTCTCAAAACAAAAACACAAGAAACAAGGTAACACCATAAAAATGAAAATCAAAACAAACAGGCTAAAGACTAATGAGGTTTAAAAAAAAAAGGAGCCAAACCAAAAGAAAACAGCCCAGGTTGTTCAAACCTCATAGTCCTCATGCCACCCTCTCCTGAGCTCTAGGACTATACACACCACCATACCTGCATCAAGGTGACTGTTAAAATTGGGAATAAAGGAGATAAAAAAGTTCTATATATTCAGTAATCCAGAAACCACTATTTATCTAATTTATTGCTGTTGTAAATTTTAAATAATTTTAGATTCGTGAGTTGGAAATATATTAGAGATGTTATAAACATATATATATATATATATATATATATATATATATATCATCCACCAAGTTTCATCCAAAGCTTACATCCTATAAGCACTACAATATAAAACCAGATATGTGATATTGGGATACTGTGTGTATAGTTCTATACTATCTACCAATATGTAAATTTGTGTAAACTTCACGGACACCATGAAGAGCTATTATGTTACTACAAAGCTCTTTCTCCCTCAGTCATTTTCTAGTCACCTCTCTGTTCTGACTAGAAGGTATATGTAATAGTTACTCTTCCTAGACAGGATGGCTCTTTGCAGTTTCCATTTCAACCTGGTCTTGTCAAAGTCATTTCTGTAAAATGTGGTCCCCATTCTTTGAGTTGATATCAATCATATCGACATCTCGATCGTCAATTTAAAATAGCAGTGCAATAAATCTAAACGGACAAATTTAATTTTGAGGTGTTGGTTGGGGATGAAATTGGACTTACAAGTAAATTCTCATGTTTAATGATATTCATTTCAGGTGAGTTTAGCTTTGGGCCCTTTCTTTTAAATTTCTTTAGGGTCTCTTAGAACAGTGAGCAGTCTCCAATTTTAAATATATTCCTTTGATATAAAGGAAAAATTTGGACACAGGACTCCAGTGTATTAAGTCACTGAGATTTAAAATGTACCAAGAGTTGTTTCGATCTGTGATTAACAGCATCAAATTGTGATTTCAGGGTTATACAGTAAATGGTGGTACTGCAAAGAGGAGTTGGCATGCAAGGTCTGTGATGTCTTAGACACCTTTCTTCAGCTCAACTAACCTACTTCGGCTGTCAGGGATCAACTCTTGTCTTGAGTCTCTATACCGAAGATCACTAACAGAACTATTCAACACGCCTTCTCTTGAAACTCAAGCTGCAAAGTCCAGGACTGGGGGTGGTGTTAATTTAATTAACACATGAAATTATTTCCTGGGCTCGTGCTAATTTCCTCAAGCTAACTTTGTAGGAGTATGGGTGTAACTGTCTTGCAGATAGGATTTTAGGTTTACTTTTGCGAAATCTTCGCGACATGAAAAAAGCACCTTTTTCTTCGTGTGAGACTTTTTCTTGACTTTCATTCTAGAGTGAGCCAAATAACCAAGTCGCCAAGTTTGTGCTTCGAACTTTATTCCCTCGGCGCATGGCCAGCGAACGTGCATGCAGCCTTTTCTATATGGGCTGAAGGTGCTCAGCAACAAGGCTCACTTTCTTTCTTTTTTTTTTTTAACAATTATGATAATACTGACTATGACCTAGTGTGATGGGAAATTAAAATGCTCGCCCTTTATCTCAGAAGAAAAATAGTAGAGAATTTAAGAGCATAGAACGGGAGACCTTCTTCCAGTCTTCAGGCTACAAGCTTTTCTCTGCCTAGAGGCCAAGGGGAGGAAACTGGAGACCGAAGGACAGCCTTGTGGTCACCGACCTGTGCTCGGCTCCCCCCTCCGCCCCGCCCCTCGCTTCACTCCGCCCCTTCCCGCCTCCCGGCCTCGCCCCCCGCCGTGGAGGCGTCATGGCGGCCTGCGGGATACCGGCGCTGGCCCGAGCGGCCCTAGGGAGGTCACCATCTTGGGCTGAAGGCTTCCGACAGCCGCTGAGCTCAACCCTCCACTCCGATTCCGAAGGGGCCTGCGGCGGCTCCGCTCCAGACTCGCGGAGGACGCCCGAAGGAGAGCCGAGGCATCCGGCGAGCCAAGAGTTAACCGCGGCCGAGCAGCACATCGCCGAGCTGCACCGGGCCGCCTGCGCGGTGAGGCTCTCTCCAACCCGCCCCGCGGCCTCTGCGCCTGCGCGTGCTCGGCCCCGAGACCAAGGGGCGGCCCCGGGCGGAGGTGCAGGAATTGTAGGTCTTGAGCCTCCAGCCCGGGGCGGGTCGGCTTCGTGCAATTGCTGGGAGGATCCTGCGAGAAATCTGACCGCCCTCTTGCGTCCCGGACAGTGGGGTCTGCCCTCAGAGCGGGACCCAGTTTCTGATCAGTGCACCACCTAAAGGCTTGTCTCGGGGTGTGTGCGCGCGCGCGCCCTCCAGTGTATGAGTGTGTTGGGTAGGGAAAGGGGCATGGGTGTTAAGGAACGGAAGATGGAAGGCCTGAGCAGTTAGGGGGCAAAGTGTGTTGTACAGACATGTTGCCTGTGCACGATATCTTGAGCAGCCTGCCATCCAGTGACTTTAATCATGAAAGCATAAGACAGACGCTTTCCATCTTTGCCCTCTCATCCTTTGCCTCCAGTCCCTAAGTGAGCAGAGGAAATTGCTGCCGGGCAAGTTTGCATTTTCCCCCAGACATTCTTGAATAACCTTTTCTTCTGGTTTGTGGATTTGACAATTGCTTGTCACCACTAATATCCAACCTTATTCTGCCTGCAGAAGAGTTTGAAGATAGCATAATTTATATTTTTAAGTCCTATGATGCTATAAAAGCGATTTGTAATAAACCTGTTTATTAAGCTCTCGTCGTGGCTAGTACTTGATAAGACCACTGAGTGTTACTTGAGTTGACTTGAACTACAGAGGTAGAGAGGAAATCCTTGAACGTTTCCTAAGGTTGACATCCTTCCCTTGACAATAGTAGGCCCTGAGAACCCACTGACCCTTTCAGGTGTTGAAAGTCAATAAAGATTTATCAAGAGATTATTAGCAGCACTTGATGTTTGCTTATGCTCTTATTTTAGATATAACCCATACACTTTGTTCCCACCAGTCACCATGTGAGTATGGTGGATAAAAGTCAGAAGTCTCATCATTTCAGAGCAAACAACAGTGGCGAGTAAAAAGATGGTTCAGTCAACACCGGGAGAGAAAGGAACTTCCTTTCACTGGGGAACCCACAACTTTTTCATCATGTCCAGGAGACCATAAGTAAACCCCAAAAACAACCTTGATATTACTCTTTTCGACAAATTAAGAGCTCCCAAACAACAGTGCTTTTCCCTGCCTCCAGGCAGAGATCCTTCTTAGCTTTCTGCTGCATGATGGCATCGCCACTGGCCATCTTGCTTTCCATGGCGAGCTTGCTCTCCAGTGGAACTGAGGCACACTTGCCTCCTCTTTGTTGCCAGCATTATCTGAGGCTCATCTAATGTAGGCAGTCAGCAAACTCAGAGGTGCACTGTATCCGTATGAAGAGCAGGAGAGCACGTGTGTGAAAGCGGCCTGTTGGCTTGCCAGATAATTGACCCCAGAAAACACACAGAAGCTAAGAAAAGGGAAGGCCACGGAAGACTTTGCAGTGTTTTGTTTATTTGCCTTCCAGAACTTCAAACACAAGCCTTGTGGAGATGGAGAAGAGAAAAGAAAAAGAAGTGAGGTCCTGGTGGTGGGTCATTCTACAGTAGTGTTGAGTGTACCTGGTGTCATGTGACCCCAAGATTGGGAAGCCCCTGAGAGCATCACTGAAATTTACTGGATTCTTAGTGCCATGGTCTATCTGTGCGGAAATGCCTTAGAGTAAACGTAGACTTGGACCAAAATAAGTTGGTCTAAATGTGAGCCATAATGAGTGATGCCATTAAATATGACACTGAGCAGCTGAAGTTGTTCATGACTAATTAAAAAGATGTATGCTATAGCTGGTCGTATTGCAGCACACCTTTCATCCAACACGTTGAGGCCAGCCTGGACTACATAGTGAGTTCCAGGCCATGCAAAGCAATATAGTGAGACCCTGTCTCAAAAATAGAGAAGAGATCTCTGTGAGTTCGAGGTCGGGCTGGACCCGACAGCCTCCAAAACAATACAGAAAACCCTGTCTCATAACCCCCCCCAAAAAAGAACAAAAATAGAAAAGAAAAATAAAAATGTATGTTTGAAAGCCTGCTGCCTTCATGCATATTTAATGAAACTCTATATGCAAGAGTGATACACTGAGTTACTAAAGTTGAAAGTGTTACATATGAGCTCATAGGGATGGCCCCTCTATATAAAATCTGGAGGCATCATTAAAGTAATACTTGTACCTAGATGGAAAATGCTTCCCTGACATTTGAAGTCATATACTGGAAGTTGCTTTTGCTCATTTGTTAAACCAGTGAGTGTTAATGTGGCAAAACAATACTTTTTTAGTTAATACTAGAACTGACAATGCTGGGAGCTGGGGAGGAAAGGGAAATAGTGTGGACCATGGAGTGGAGTAACACATCATGAAGGCATGGAAAGTGTTCAATAATAGCAAAGGTAATGCTTTCCTGCAAGGGCTGTTTGGCTTTGATTAGCACCTTTTCTGTGAATTTCAATCATTATTCACATATTGTAAGTACTGAAATTGTAACTGCAACTTCTGAGTGAAGTTCATTTTCAGCCTCTTAAGTTCTTAAAATCATCTAAATCACCCGTTGCCTAGATGCAGAATGAAAACTATCAGAGTGGTGGCTAGTACATAGTTATTGCATACAGAGGACTTCTTGTTTTTCCATCAACTTCTCATCTTACTCAAACTGTATGGTGTTTCCTTTAATCACATACAGTTAGATTGTATATAATGTTGAAATGCCTTTGCTCCTTAATTGCAAATGCCACTACAATTACTGGGAAAGAAATGTATTATTATTCTTTTTTATTTTTACAGTAGTTTTCAACTAAAAACATTATTAGATATGATGAACATCAGCAAAGATTAATACGTTGTTTTATAACTCTTCAGGCTGGCCAGTTAAGCTATGTGGACCCAGCTACCGGCTATGTGGTGTTCACCAGACTAGCCCACTTGCAGAGAGGTGCCTGCTGTGGTTCTGCCTGCAGACACGTGAGTAACAATTCTCGAATTACCCCAGCAGTTTGCTGAGCTTCTGTAACTTCATAAATACCTATTATTTAAACAACAAGTCAAATAAAAAAGCTAAATAGACCTAGAGTATGCTTTTCACAAGCTGTTTCAGCAAAGGACAATGAAGTTGTTAGTACCAACACAGGACCTTTAAAGTTAATGGAATGTTGTACGTTTTGCTGTGAGCATCAGCTCCTCCAAATGCTATGACTTGAAATTCAGGAGAGCTTTTTATTGGGAGGAAAGCTTTCATGAAGTATGAAAGAAGTTTTATTCACTAGGCAAGCACAGAGAGCAGGAAGAGAAACCAACAAAAATGTTGCTGACCCAATCCTAGAAATACTGCAATCTTAAGAAACAGAAAATTGCCCATCATTGAGACATGAATCTCCATCAAATCATAAGACTTCCTCTTTTTGCATTCCACTCCCTGCTTCACGGTCCCCTTTCCCTGGGCAGATCACCAGTGCTGCTGCTGCTGCTGCTCTTATTTCCTGTGGTTTAAAATCTCTCTCTCTCTCTCTCTCTCTGTCTCTGTCTCTCTGTCTCTGTCTCTCTCTCTGTCTCTTTGTCTCTCTCTCTCTGTCTCTGTCTCTCTCTGTCTCTCTGTCTCTTTGTCTCTCTCTCTGTCTCTGTCTGTGTCTCTCTCTCTCTGTCTCTGTCTCTCTGTCTCTGTCTCTCTGCCTGTCTCTCTCCTCTGCCCCCCAACTTCTTTCTCTGCTTTCTTTTAGCTGGTGTTTAAAGGAACTGTGAAGGTACATTACCCCAAAGTTAGTGCTGTGGGTCTGAGTATGCTTATTTCTGGAGATATATGCCCATGTTTAATGGTCAAAGTGAATGAACTATTTCTTCCTGTAGTCTGAGCAAAGAAGAAATCAGCTATATTGTTATTTGATTAAGATTATGAACAGATAACAACTGTTTACTGAACACGTTGTATGTTTTTCCTGCAAGAAGTTGTTATCTCCTTTCGCTAGCCCCCTTTCTAATTTAAGATTAGACACCAAATACACATATGAACTGTAGACAGTATTTTAAGAGTCACTCTTCACTCTTTTGGATATTCCTACCTGTGTCATGAACTATTCCTAATCAAATGCATAAGAGCTGTTCATAAATGTAGGACCCATGGATTTTTTTTAAGAATGGGTGTTTGATATAAAAATTTTTGAGATTGGAAGGAAATACACTTAGGAAATGGTTCTTGAGTCCTAATTAGGCCTATTTACCCAAAGTTGCATTGTGTCATACCTAAGAAATGATAGATCAAATGATCTAAAACATAGTTAACAGCCCCCCTTTTCCCACTATGAGAAATGTATGTTCTGACAGTGACTGTTAAATTGATAATAATTTGTTGCCTTTCCTTTTCAGTGTCCATATGGCCAAGTCAACGTGAAAGATCCATCTAAAAAGAAGCAATTCAACTCCTACTTTTATGTTTGACAACAACTTTACTTCTGTTCTATCAAATTGAACTTCTGATTTTGAAAATAAAGACCTAATCTAGAATTCTGTTGCAAATTTTTGAACACCTATTTAGCATTAAGTACATATATTCAAAAGAGTATCCATAAGATGACATGGTTTTCCTTCCTTTTTGCTGCATGACCACATGCATATGTTGAAGGAGAAAGGGATAGCTGTCCTGTTAAATAAAAGCTGCAGTTGGGCCACAGGAGTAACATTGGGTTTTCCCTAGCTTTGCTCTCTCAGTGTTTTCTCATCAGTGCAAGGAAGGTTGCTGGCAAATAGCAAGCACGTTCTTCATTTTATTTATGTCATCCGCTTAAGAAGATGGGGATAACGCCATGTAGTGCAGCATACGAACACTCAAGAAATGCCATCTTCCAGCAAGAGATGCTCTCATTGTCCATCTGTTCTTTCAGTGTAAATTTCAGATCATTTTGACCTGGGGGATCAGGCCACTAAATGTGCCTCCCTTAGATCATTCTTCATTCTTCCTCTACTCAGTCCTCCACATTTCCTTTTGACACTTCTGAGGCAAATTTACCTTTGAACATCTTTTCTTGCTCTGCATCCATTTTGTTCACTGTGGTGATTCCCCTGTGGAAGCCCAGCCTTTGGTGAGGCAAGATCTCCCAGGGGTTGTTCTTTTCACAGCTTCTCTGCTTCCTTGGCAGGATAGCAGCCACTGGAAAGCCCTTTGTCTGCTGGTGGAAGAGTGATGAAATAAAATGAGGCTGTTGCCCAGAGTTGACCCTCAGACATGGACCACTCAGAGATAATCAGATTTTAAGCAACCAAAAGGTTCTAGAGCCTTCTCCAATATTCATCCCCAGATAAAAGATCTTCTTAGCTATAAAATATGAGAAAAACGAATCTCTAGTGATTCTGATTTTCCTTAGTTACTACTTTGTTATTTACATACTTTTCATGCCTGACATTAAATTGCCCCCAATGCCTGTTGACCATGTTGATGGCTCAGTTCTTCCAGTCCTATGACCCTGGTACTCTAGAAAGCACCCTCCCTCCAAGATGCCTGCAGCTTCCGTGGATCATCACATCCACCAGTTATTCTGAGGAAGGGAGGGGTTGTGGTTGTGAAGGCAGTTAATCTTTTCAGAAAGCCACAAGGATTGCTCGATGCCACTTTCTCATTCTTAGGACCTGGAGCAACCACGGATTTCTACTTTTTAACTAAAATTGAAGATTAACCAGATAGTTTCTTGGGTGGTGGATGGATGATGTTCTAAAGAAATACAGTCTAAAAAGATTATCTTTCTGAAGAATCTAGGAAAGAAAGAATCGGGGAATATGTTGAAAAGGAATCCTACTTAAGGGCATATTTAGAAAAAGAATCTTGGTAGATGGAAGGAACTCCCAGGGGAGCCTTTTATCCCCTGACTGCTCTTTCTCAGTCTTAGTGCAATCCTTGCCATACAAAGAAACAAACAAAACTGGCCATCAAGGAAGTTGGCAATTCTTGGGATCTTAACTTGCAGCACAGTAGCTGCCGAGTTAGGGAGGCAGGAAGAGGCAGTTATCCTTGCCTACAGCTAATGCCAGGAATAAAGACATTCTGTGGTTCTGGAGAGATGCCTCTGAACCACAGTATAACAGGGATGGCAGCAGGGCAGGTGCTCCCACAATAAACACAATATTGCCACATAAATGGACTTTGCTACAGAGGGTTTAAGCTATATTGCTTTCACACATTGTAAAGTAAAAACTCGGGTCTCTTATTGGATGCACAGATACAAACACATGGAGATGCCCAGAAATATCGATATAAATCAACTCTGGTGTAGTGCCACTCTCAAGGTTTCTGGAGACTCCTTCTGCCCCAGGGCACAATAAATCAAGAGAGACTGATTTTTGGATTGTTCCTAACACAGAATAACCCCAGAGAAACTAAGGTTACTAGAGCGGGAGTGGAGATGCATTTCTGAGGTTAGTTCTTCTCTCTGCTGGGAGAAGGTCCTCCCTAGCTGTGAATGGTGATACACACGCCTCTCTCATTGGGAGCTGCACTGTCCCCGCTGATTAAGCAGGTCGAGATGAGAAATAATTTTATCCTTTGAAGTAAAGCTTGAAGTGCCAAATAGGGTGTTTGCAACAAATGAGATCCTGGCTCCACCAAGGATCTTTGTTTCAACAAAGTGCCCCTTCTCCAAAGGCGTTTGCAAAGTCCTTTGCTCAACAAGCTTCTAACATCAAAAATCGGGGCTTTGATTCTTCTCCAGACAAAATTAGGGAAGGAGGCTCCCTATCTACCTGATGAACTACACTTGCTATGTTGTGTTCTTCAGCTGTCAGAAGTCGCAGGGTCCCAGGTCAGCCCCAAAGGAAGCTTGCCCCCCCCCCACCCTTCACTCCTTACCTACATCGGCCCCTTCACCTTCTCTACTTTTCACGGAGGATGGCTCAAGCTTGTGAGCTGACATTTGTCAACGATGCTGAATTTAAAGCTCTATGTTGCCTTTTCACTATCCTACAATAGTTAAGATGTACTCCCAGTTTTCAAAAAGATTCTTCTTTTGGGTCTCTGTCTCTCTCTCCCTCTCCGCGCCCTCTCCGCGCCCTCTCCCCGTGTGTGTGTGTGTGTGTGTGTGTGTGTGTGTGTGTGTGTGTGTGTGTGTGTGTGTGTGTGTGTGTGTGTGTGGGCGCGCGCATGCAGCCGTGTACATCCTTACCACATACCTGAAACAGTTACCCAAAGAAGTTAAAAGGCGCCGCATAGGATAGAACACCTAAGAGTTTCTAGTACTGGTTCACTGATTAGGAGTCTTGTCTCCTCCAGGAGGGTACAGTAGAAAAAATAAGCGGAATAGGCTGGGTGAGCCTGGGAAAGTCCGGTTCGGTAAACGCATGGGACTAGATCACGAAACCCAGTGTTCCTGAGGAACACGAGGCACAGTTAAGTCCCTAGGGTTCCCAGCGACATTCTGCGGTGTAGGGTGCAGACTGAGAGCGCGCGAGGGAGGGGAGAGGGTTTGGATTCACTATTCCTGAGCCGTCCCTTAAAGGCCCCAAACTGTGGAGAGGTTGGGGGACTGGTTGACTTCCGCCCCCCGCATGAGTCCGCAATTTTATCTGGTGGCTTCGAGGTACACAAATGCCTTCAGCCCATCCAGCCCTTTCCCATGCCAAGTCAAAGAGCCACTAACAGCGCCCGGGCTTTGGGGAGCAGACGGGTGGGGGAGGGCGGCGCCGATGCTGACCGGCGTTCCGGAGCTGCCAATCTCTCTGCTCACACCTCCTTCCCCACTGGCGCGGGAGTCCAGGCTAATCCCCCGCCTCTCCATCTCCGACTTCGAGGGGCGCCCAGGGTGGGGAGTGGGGTAAATAATTGGCCAGAGGTCTGGCTTCTGATTCTCCTCTACCAGCCGCTCGAGGGAACGCAGGACAACGCAGTCCTAGTGGAACCTAGACCAGGTAACAGGGTGCTCCAAGCCCCGGGTCCCGGGTCACACAGCATCCCTTCGATAGTCGTTTTTGAGTGCAGGAGTTGAGTGCAGATTTCCTTCTAGAAGAATAATTTCAGCCGTCGCTCTTTAGTCAGGACCCAAGAGGGACAGGTGTCTTGGTCACAAAGGCCGCCCTCCAGCTCAGAATGCTCTCCAACTTGCTGGGTCTCCAATGCCCGGCTTAGGAGCAAGGATGCTGAGCAAAGGATAGGGAGAAGAAGGCGGGGACGGTATGTGAGCAATCAAAAGCGTAGCCCAGTTTCCCTAGGATCTACCACCCATTCACCGGCTATGCAGCAGGCACCAGCTGGCAGCAGTATCTTTTAGGTACCGGCTTCAGCAAAGCAAAGGCAGGCTGGGGGTCCCGGAGCCCAGGGTGCACTGCGGGGCTCCAGCACCCCGCCCCCCCGCTGCGCCCAAGTCTCGGGATGCTCGTGGCTTTATGAGGTTCCTTGCCGCCAAGTCTTCCATTAACACCTCCGCGGATTATTGAGAGGCTGGCCGGGCTGAGCGTTGCCTCAGAACCGGTGTTGGGGCATTGACCGGAGGCTGAGCCCTCTGCCATCCCCCACCCCCGCCTTTTCCGATTTGGGAAAGCATAAACAGAAAATAAAAGACAGGTGGAGGAGGCTGAAGGTCAGAGGTGAGAGATTCAGGTCAATACTGAGGAGAGAAGGGAGGAGAAAAAGGAGGGAAGGAGGGAGAGGAGCGAGGGAGGGAAGGGAGGGAGGGAAGCTGGGGGAGAGAGAAAAGGGAGAGAGGGAAAGAGAGAGAGAGAGAGAGAGAGAGAGAGAGAGAGAGAGAGAGAGAGAGAGAGAGAGAGAGAGAGAGAGAGAGAGAGAGAGAGAGAGAGAGAGAGAGAGAGAGAGAGAGAGAGAGAGAGACTACGTTCATTCACTGGCTTATTTATTTGATTAACAGAGGGCAACGCGGGGACTGGCCCGCACGCCTGACCGCCTCCTCTAGCCATCACCTCTCCAAGAACCTAATTCTTGAGAGGAACACCTGACACCGGGACATTAAGGTAACATCCCCTTAGGTTCCGCGTGGTGGGGAGTGCTTTTCTATCCCTGGAGGGGGCGGGGACCCGCTCATAGCTCTGTAGCTTTGTAAAGGAAGCTCAGCTTGGCCATTACTGCCTGGGTCCCTGAATCTCAGCAGACAAGAGGTTGAGACCGGCTCTACCAAGGAGGAGGTTCTTGGGGAGCCCGGGAAGCAAAGTCTAATGTCTACCTAACACACCAGGTTTTCTTCTTCTGACAGTACAACCGCAGTTAATTGCCGATCGACCCTTCTCGCAGTAAGGATGCTGAACGGCACCACTTTAGAGGCAGGTGAGTTCTCGCCAGGTTCCGCGGTATTTTCCGAGAGAGAGAGACAGAGAAACAGAGAGAGAGAGAGAGAGAGAGAGAGAGAGAGAGAGAGAGAGAGAGAGAGAGAGACAGAGACAGAGACAGAGACAGAGACAGAGACAGAGACAGAGACAGAGACAGAGACAGAGACAGAGACAGAGACAGAGACAGACAGACAGAGACAGACAGAGAGACAGACAGAGAGACAGAGAGAGAGAGACAGAGAGAGAGAGAGAGAGAGAGAGAGAGAGAGAGAGAGAGAGAGAGAGAGAGAGAGAGAGTCCACGAGCATACCTTCCTTCATTAATGGAAGGATCGTAATCGTCTTAAAATTGACCATTAGCTTTGGAGGCTGGAAAACATTTCTGCTCAGGACTTCCTGGAACCTGACCCCTCCGCCCATCCCCTCGCCGCCAGCTTTGGCTCTTTTCTTGAATGCCATTGACTTTCCTAGAGTCTAGGGTCAGGGCTGTGGGCAGAGGTCAGAGTGTCTTTGGGCCTGGAGAAACACAGGCATAAGGGACTTGGGACCCTCGGTGGAGTTGCTGAGACTCCGCCTTGCTGGAAGCAAGTACCTTGTAAGGCTTGAATGGAAACTGGCTTTATTCACATTTGGTCGTCGTCGTTGTTCATCCCCAATGTATTGCGCTGCGTAGAATTTACCGTTTATTGGGGGAGGGGGAGACTCCGAGGGCCACAGGCTCAGCAAGCTTCACATAAAAGGGCTTCAAGTTTCAGAAGCGTGATATTCTAGACCAGGTGGGAGTCCTGTTTGGGATGAGGGGGAACAAGATTCAGAAACATAGGTTTGGAGATAGCAAGCAGTTGACACTGGCCTTTGTGGCCGCAGGTGTTCAGGCACTGAGTGTAGACTTGCCCGGCCCGGCCCTGGCCCGGTGCAAACGTCTGTCCCTGAGAGCAGCAGGCAAGGGGGCGGGCGGGTGTAGCAGCTGGGCTGTAGCCCGCCCTTGCCGGCCGAGAGCAACATCTCCCAGGCCTCCAAGGATCCTGCAGCCTCAACTCTGAAGGCTCCACTGAATTTGTCCTGAGGAAAGCTTTACTGATAGGATCGAATCAGAGGTGCTCTCTGAAACACAAGACTGAACCTGCCAGCATCATTTTGGGAAAGCTTTGCTCATAGAAAGATCTGCTGTTCGGAGAAAGGTTTGGTGACTTGCGGGCCATTTGCTCACCTCTAACCGAGAGCAGCCTGGTCATCCAAGGCCGAATGGCGCCACCAATGAAAGCAGGACTCCTAGCTCCATAGCACCACTGATTTCTCTTAGCTGTTGGGATAATCCTCACCCCATGCCAAGATTTAGACATGATCTCCAAAAGCTTCCTCTTTCCAAACAACGACATTCTTAGGATCTGAAGGAATGGCCTAACTTTAATGGCCAAACTTGTGAGCATTAGATTATGGTCACCAAAATCCAGGTCTAAAGAGTCTTCGAGTGTCTTACAACTAAATGATGAGCCCTTTGCTGGGTAGTTTTCTCTTCCGGAGCCTAAAGCTATGCAGCTATCTGAGTAATTCTGGACATCTCACTTTTTTCTCCCCTGGCCTCTGAGGAGTTAGACTGAGCCAGGGACCTCTTCCCAGGTAAGACTGCCAGAGCCCAGACAATGGCTCTTCAGTCTCCTCTGCCCTCATGGGAATCTGGTACCCTAAATCTAAAATCTCCAGTTTTATTAGACAGACTCCCACTCTGCTGAAAGTTGTAACAATAGTCCCATGGATAGCCACAGAACAGAAAAGAGCACATTAGATTGCCTATGCTGGTGGGGGTGGGGTGGGGGCAGCTGTGCCAGGCTAGGGTTCTGCCCCATTACCTTTAGTATTACTTTGAATTTGGAAAGAAGACTCCAGATTCTAATGGGAGCCTGGGTCAGACAGCCACCACACCGTGCACCTGTCCCTTTAATGGAGGCAAGGTCTTCATCTGTGGAACTGAACTTGTTAGTGCTTTGACTTTCATGAAGAATGCACTGGTCATTGAGCCTAGAATTGGGGGAAAGAGACCAACTCCCTGGGTAAACGGAGTATTTTCACTTTGCAAAGCTGCCAGGGTGCCTTCCCCGTTTAAGCCACGCAGAGTCCTTTGAGTGAAGAGGAGGATGTGAGATGGGCTCTTGAGCCCATCTTCTTAGAGAGCCTAGACAAAAGGTGAGAGCACTCCTGTGACATGCTTAATTCTTGGGTTATTTCTCCCCTCTACTTCTTTAGGACTTCTTTTTGAGCTCCTAAGTGTGAGAGGAGTGTGGGCTGGACCTATGGGGAGCTATGTCCCCAGAACTAACTCCCAAACTCCAGCAGACCCCTCCCTGCCCCATCCCCACCTTTCCAAGGACATCTGTATTCTCAGAGCAAGAAAAACCTTGGCAGTTCACTTCTTTAAGGAAGCGACCAATCCCTGTGGGCGCTGGATCTTATAACTTGAGTTTTATAAGAAAGAGCAGTCCTAGCTAGGTTTCAGCTAGGAAGCTGATTACAGGAGATGCTTTACCCAACTTGTCCTGATAGATGATTTAAGGACCTGTACAGAGGAAGTGGATGGATGGATGGATGGATGGATGGATGGATGGATGGATTGATGCAGACTGACAAGATGTCATTGTCTAGTTTCCCTGGTGATTCTTCCCAAAGCCATGGCTTTTTCTAAAAAGGCCTTTTAAAGCTTTTTCTTCATGAAGTCCTGATGGGTTTCTGTTGTTTGTTTGCTTATGTTTTGAATGTTCTTGCTGTTCAGGACCAACACCCAATAACCAAAGCCAATTCCAAACACTCATATTTGAAAGTGAGGAAGGGTGTAGGGGAGAAACTCGGCAAAGTGGACCACCGTCTCATATTTACTTTGTACTTCTAGCCTCATTGGGTTAATTGAGTAGTTCTTTGGTTAGCTTCCCCCCCTCTCCTCTTCCTTGGGCTAAGTCGGTTTAACTGCTGACATGTATGAAGGCAATCTGCCCCTTTGTAAGAGGACCTGCTGTCTCTGAAAGGGCCCCTGCCCCCAGTCCCTCCTTGGGGCCCTTCCTGTGTGTGTGTGTGTGTGTGTGTGTGTGTGTGTGTGTGTGAGACACACACACACACACACACACACACAAGGGTTTGAAGAGCTCATTGATTTCCATCCAAAGGGGCTAATTACATTACTTACAGTAAATAGCCGTCCTGCTGTCAGGTAAGGCTGCCAAAATGGGGGTGTGTGTCTCTCCAGCTTAGTTCACTCGATTGGCTTCATTTTTTGTGTGAAATTGTGTTTTATGAGCTGTACTCTGGTACCCAGAGGACCTTAAAAGCATCCATCCAGTCTGCAAATAACATTATTTTGACCCCGAGGGGGGGAAACAGTGGAGGCTTGAGTTTCATGGAAGAGGCACCCCAAAGAGCCTCTGAAGGTGAAGCTTTGGGACAGGAAGTTAGGCTGCCACATCAGGGTGGTTTCCTCCTTCTCCTGCCCTCCCTTCCTCTTCCACTTCCTTCTCATTTCCCTTCCTCCCTTCCATCCTTCCTATGTAGCCCTCTCATTCGCACTCATCATCCTTCGTTCTTTTCTTCCCTTCCTCCGATACCCCTTTCCCCCAGTTTCTTCCCAGCTTTCCCTCCAGACTGTGTTGAAGCTCCACGTGGAACTTTCACGGTGGAGGGAAGCGGGCCTGCTGCTCCGGGTATCCAGACAGAAACCCCAGTGGTCTCTAGAAAGAAGGCAGAGTAGTGGGGAAACAGAGGCTGGCAACCACGAAGAAAGGGCTGAGAGCGGCCAGGCTTTCTTCTTTTTCTGATTAAGTTCCCGCGGCTGCGCCTCACTCCGCGATCCTAGGGGTTTTCTGGCCGTTTCAGTGAATCCACAATATCCGAGTATTGTGGCTACTTTTTAATGGGACCAGAGGGAGGGGAAGGGCCGCACTAGCAAGAACAGAGGGCGACAGAACAATGCCATCTCTTGTGAAGAGCAGTCTGCTATCCAGCCTGTTAGTTCTCACCTCCCCGCCTCCACCCTGAGCCCCTTTCACACCCACCCAAGTGTGCCGAACGCCAGCAGCCAACACCTCGCCCAACCCGGCTCGGGCGCCCAGCTCACCGGAGTCCTAGCCTATGAAAGTTGACAAATTCCAAACGGGACACTAGAATTTCCACTAGTTTACCTTCAATCTGGAACTAGTTAAGAGTCAGTCCTCCATGGTCAAGGTTCCGTTGAATATCCAGGTCTACAAAACCATGTCCTGTCCTCTACACTCAAAAACTCAAATATTTCAGAATAAATATATGTATCTTCCCACTCCAAAAGTAATACTCGGAAAAGTAGGTTCTCCACGCCCCCTTTCACTTTGGAGGACGCCTCGGAGTCTGGTGGTGAGTAGACCACCGCCAGAAGAGTGCTTTTAAAAAGTGAGTGGAGAAGGAAGGGACAGGAGGAAAGAAGCAGGCATTAAAAGCACCGGTGCTGGGAAGTGCTGCTTCTAAGACTGCGGGATCGGTGACAGCCTTGTGAACTGGGGATTTGAAAGTCTGCAGATGAGAGGGAAACATAAGGTTTGCAGCCCATCTTCTGTGTGCCCTGGGTGGGGGGGGGGGGCTGATGAACTGGGAGCAAATGAGGCTAGTCCTCCCCCCAGCTCCATCTAGGACTCGGACAATAAGGGCTCCTTTAGTCCTTTAAAGCATGACTGTGGAGAACTCTTGTAAGGATGTGTACTTTGTGTGTGTGTGTGTGTGTGTGTGTGTGTGTGTAGGCGCGCGTGTGTGGTGGGGGTAAAGGCCCCCTCCTTCTGCCTCCCTCTTAGTCCCCCACCCCTTTGTAATGTTTGTCCCTGCTTGCCCATCACCAGGGGGGTTGAGAGGAGTATGACAGGTCTTTGTTGTCTGAATAAAAATCCGTGGCAGCTCCAGGGAGAGGACTCCTCCTACTAAATTATCAAAAATGGGCTGGCTTTAGTCTCTTAACAAATTGGACACAGCTCCAGCAGGAGCAGTCCCCAACCCAACCTACAGGCACTGGGAACTTGCTGGCAGCCGGGGACCGCTGGATATAGCACTTCGTTTTCTTTCTTTGTGTTCAAAACTATTTTTCTTTCTTCCTCGGATTTTGTTTTCCTCCCCCCCCCCACCCCCGCGGCAGTTGTATCCCATTAGTAACTCGATCTCTCACTGCAGTAAGATTCTCCTGCTTTCCCCTCCGTCCGCGTTTGTTTGTTTTCTGCACATCTCCTTCTGGGAAACGCCAGACCTCCCCGCCCCCCTTTCCCACCGCTTTTTTGCCCGGGTCTTTCCCCTCTCACATAGATAGGTCTATTTCCACTCGGTCGTCTTCTTCTTTTCTCTCTTGCCCCTGTCCCCGCGACTCTACGCTCCTTCACCGCGCAGCCCTGCGCGGTCCCCTTTGCTTCCTCACGCGGATGAACTGAGAGCCCCAGGCGAGCGTTTATGGAAATAGTGGGGTGCCGAGCCGAAAACAATTCGTGTCCTTTCCGCCCCCCAGCCATGCTCTTCCACGGGATCTCCGGAGGCCACATCCAAGGCATCATGGAGGAGATGGAGCGCAGATCTAAGACCGAGGCCCGTCTGGCCAAAGGCACTCAGCTCAACGGCCGCGACGCGGTAAGGACCGCCCCGGCGCGGCGCTGGAGAAACTGCGAGTCTCCGGCCTGCCCAGGTTGGGGATGGCGGGTCCCGGGGGCGTCTGCCTGGGGACGCTCGCTCACTAGCTTTGCTTGAGAGGTCTGTTTGCTAGGCAAGGGTCCCTTTCCGAATCGAATCGCGGTGTCTGGGATGCTGCGGTCCAGAGTTCACCAGTCTTTGTAGCGGCTGATAGCGAGCACACAGGACAGACAGCTTTGGAAGGAGCGGGCGTCCTCCCTGCCAGCCCCAAACTCCAGTTTCTGGTGACTCGGCCAGGCCGGATCCGCCGCCGCGAAGGCAAGCTTTGGTGTAGGTACTAGGGGTCGTTTGCCGGCTTGGTGTCCGGGACAGGCTGGAGCCGTGGAACCCCAGTCTCTGGGATGGAAAACCAGACCTTCGGAGTAGACCCCAACGCGCTGGTCCGTTTCCAATTCGAATATTCGGAACTCAGCACCCGAATCCAGTGATTGCTAGGGCTTCTGGCATGCCGCTTCAGTTACCCTGCTCACAAAATTGCGCTTCTCTTTTTTTATGGGGAGGGTACCTTGTGTAGCTGGATAAAAATGAGAAGGAGCAACCCCCCTTTCCCCGATCTAAAAGCAGGAACATGAACTCTACCAACCCAAGAGAAGCAATCAGCCACAACTGGCGGTCACTATTCGTAATATTAGTTATGTCTTTGTGAAATTAATAGGAATTTAAGCATTTTCCCCTTCCCTTTATGAACTGGAGGGAGAAAACTACAGAGGTCTGCGGAAATGATTCTTGGCGAAGTGTTGTGTAGACCTTTCGTATCACTGCTGGAAATTGTAGCTCAAACTGACCCGAGACGGTTCTAGCCGGTCATCGGGGTTTTGGGTCTCGTTAAACAGCCCACTATAGGCATTTGTACCATAAATTTAGTAAGAACCCACTATCCGAGTAAAAGGTGAAACTTCCCGTGCCACCAAAATGAATGTAGTAGGGGAAAGTCCGAACTAATTCTACTAGTCTGAGGAAAGGATCCAGCCAGTAACTTCTTTCCATCTTTCGTGACTGTTTTACCTAAAAAATAAAAAGCAGCAACCAAATTCCACTGGGATCCTTAAAGTGAGTTTTACCGCCATAGCTAGCCTCAATTGGGATTTAGGTGGGAAACTTATTTTGGGAATCAAATTTTCAAGAGAAAGACATATGTTGTTTATGCTGGATAGAGAAATGAGCGAGTATACAGAAAAGATTGGATGAGAGTCCTTCCTTCAGGACAGACGCTTCACTTCCTTAAGGGAACAGGGCGACGGCCTTGAACTTACAGAAAAGCAGCATCTGCTAAACGTGTCTGAATCACAGCAACGCCGGCCAAATCCCTTTGCCTATTAAAATTCAGAAAAAATAGAATTATGGCGTTGTCTGTGTAAAAGAAAATCGGTATGCTTCAGAATTCCTTCTAATTCTCTACAACAGCTCTGTTGTTCTATTTTGTGCATTGCTTGAAAAAATCACACACAAAAAATTTACCCTTAGCTATTATAATTCTGGAACGCTTATCAAAACATTCTCTAGGTTCTAAATGTCTGGGTGCTTTTAGGGTCTCAGGGCCAGGAGGACCGGGACGCTGGTCTAAGCAAACCCCTAAGAAAGGGAACTGGTCTTTGAAAAGGGAGAAATTGGGAAGGTTTACCCACTTTTGCTTTTGTGTGCTGTGGCCCTTGGTAGGATGCGCTCCTGCGCTGGGGACTGCCCAAAGCATCCCGGGTTGTGCGGCAGCGCCCCGCGACCCCCATCAGCCTCCCCGTGTGCTTGCTTCACAGGGCATGCCCCCGCTCAGCCCGGAGAAGCCCGCTCTGTGCGCCGGCTGCGGGGGAAAGATCTCCGACAGGTACTATCTACTGGCCGTAGACAAGCAGTGGCACCTGAGGTGCCTGAAGTGCTGTGAATGTAAGCTGGCCCTGGAGTCTGAGCTCACCTGCTTTGCCAAGGACGGCAGCATTTACTGCAAGGAGGATTATTACAGGTACTCCCACCCCGCCCCCCACTCACACCCTCCTCTAACCCAATACACCTGGTGGAGCCACCTGCGGGAATCCGGAGTTGCCTCACCGTCCCGTGGTTGTTTTTTGTTTGTTTGTTTGTTTTGTTTTGTTTGTTTTGTTTTGCCTGTTTTGGGTTCAATTATTTCTGAGATGGGGAAATTCATTACATATGCCTTAAAGCGTGTGCACCCATTGGTGAGGATGGGCCAGAAGGATCCCAGGGAGTAGAGATTTTTTTTTTTTATCAGGGTTTCCAGGTCTTCCCAGCTACACAGCTCGACCGGCCGAGAAATCCAGGAAAAGAGTAAACGCAGGTCTTTGGCGAACAAGAGTTTTGCTGTTTTGTTTTGTTGGTCCCCCTTAAAGTGAATTGGCCAACTTCTCTATTGGCCGGGACAGCAGCAACCAAGTGGATGATGATGATTCTGTAAATGACTATGGAAAAGTCACAGGAGCTACTGCTCCCCGAGGCCAGTCAGGACCGGACTGAAGAAAACAAAACCCAACAAAACAAAACAAAAGCCAAGCAAACAACAACAAAACCAGCAGCTCGGGAAAGGTTTGCCCCTGTGGATAAGACCTAGCTGCCCTCTAAGTAGAAGTAGGGGGATGCTGTAAGAGTAGTCTTTCCTACCAGTTTCTGGGATAGCCAGGAGCACTCAGACATACAAGAGTGGTACTATTTTATCATCGACAAGGCCAGGCTTTTCCTTTGGCTTTGCAACTTAATAATTTCTTTCAATAGCGCTACGAGCTGGCCAGTTCAGAGTTTTGTTGGTTTGCTTTTTAAAATACATTGAAGCTAAGTATTTCTTTTGACTTTCATGTAAGGATGCTTTTGTTCCAGCTCACCAGAACCTGGATAGGTCTCTGTGCAAATAAAGCTGATATCCAAAGTGGTCCTCAGCCACTGCTCTCAAGTCAGTCTTTGGCCCCTGCGGTCTAAGCCCAGCGCGCTTTGAATGGGAGATAGGTCCTCCTTGCACCAGCTGGAGCCCTGACTCTCCTGTTTGCTTCCAGAAGGTTCTCTGTGCAGAGATGTGCCCGCTGCCACCTTGGCATTTCTGCCTCTGAGATGGTCATGCGCGCCCGAGACTCTGTCTATCACCTGAGCTGCTTCACCTGCTCCACTTGCAACAAGACCTTGACCACGGGCGACCATTTCGGCATGAAGGACAGCCTGGTATACTGCCGGGCACACTTCGAGACCCTCTTGCAAGGGGAGTATCCACCTCAGCTGAGCTACACCGAGCTGGCAGCCAAGAGCGGAGGCTTGGCTTTGCCTTACTTCAATGGCACCGGCACGGTGCAGAAGGGGCGGCCCCGGAAGCGGAAGAGCCCAGCTCTGGGAGTGGACATCGTGAATTACAACTCAGGTGGGCCCCAAACCTTACCCGCCCCGCCCCGAAAGGAGGATTTAGCAGAGCTGGTTCTGCTCCCAGGTCCCCTGGCCAAGACTGCCTTGCCTAGCATAACCCTGTTCTCTCACCACAACCCCCTCTCAGACCGAGGAAGAAAAAGGAGAAAAGTAAAGGAGATGCAAAGGGAGAGAAGATGGGTTATTGGTTATTGAGCTTGTGGAGAAAAAAATTTTTATAACCATGGGGCTGAAGTGACTTCCCCCAAACAGGCAAAGCCAAATCCTTGTTGCCCATTAGTTAATGAGCCCATTAGTTTCTGGCTCTCAGTTGGAGCAAAACAGCCCCGGGGCAATTCCTTTGTTGGAGCCAAATTATAGATCCTGGAGGAGGTTTTCCTAAATAGTTAATGGGGGGAAAAGAAAGACTTCAGAGCCCTGCTCCACTCTGTCTGGAGGGGGCAGAGGCTGTGGTCACCAGCCCAAACTTAATCAGCAACATAGTTGGCAAGGGTATTGAAAAACTGAATCTCTGATCTTGGCAAAGAGTGACAGGAGGGTGGGACTCAGTCTGCCCAGCTGAGACAGCTGTGCCTCTGGAGGGTCAGGGTATTCACGCAGCCTCCTGACTCTCTGCTTGATAGATAGATCATCAGGTCATCTGGACCTCAGATAACCAGAGACATTTCTTGGTCAAGTCCACTGGGGTAGCTCAGTGCTATCTCAGGCTGCTTGTCTGCCCTCTGACAGCCTTCTTTGCTCAACTCAAAACAGAGTGCAGGCAACAGCCCCCAAAGATTGCCTTGTTTTGGAGGATACACCCATCATTAGCAATCCGCTTCATACCCATGCACCAGTTTCCTATTGTGCATAGCCTGTCCCCACCTCCCATCCTTGAGGTCAGTCTGTTGGCAGACCCTGAAGACCTGATCTCTTAGAGTAAACATAGAGGGAAAACTCAGGCTGATTTTGGGTAGCCTAAGGAATTGAACTGTTCTGACTTCCCGTGCCTTGGCCCAAGTTGATTCGGGAACTCAGCCCACAGGGGACTTGGGCTACTTGAAGAGACACACTGGCTAAGTGTGAGTATCCAGTACTTAGCATCTTCTAGTTTCCAGTGTCTGGAGTGGCGTATGTATAATAGTGGAACAATATCTTAGTTAAATGATGTGCCCTAGGTCACAGACAAGGTGAGCATCTGAACGGAGAGTCCTACTTGGGCTCCAGGGTTTTCAGGGGTGCTTCCCAGGCACTATGCTAGGTTGTTTCCTGGGATTCTTTTCCAGATTTAGAGGAATCCCGTCTGGGTCTGGGATGGAGCAGAGAGGTGGCATCTCAGAGAGAAAAGGGGACCGCATCTGTCTCTACCAAATTCACATCTGGGCAGTGGCTGAACCAAGGGAAAAGGGCCAACACAGAGGCTAAGGGCAGGTCTGTGTCTGACCACAAGCACAGCCGGGATTGGCCAAGGGCACAGCAGCTTTGCCTGCACCCTGCCCTGGGGCCCCTGCTAAGCTGGGGTAGGGCTTTGCCTAGGGTCCAATTGCCCACTGCACACTCCATCATGTTTTTTGATACATGGTCCTCAAGGCAAGACAGGCAGGACACTAATTGTTCTTTATTAATAGAAGATGACATTGGAATTTCCAGCCACTCACCAAGGCCTGACCATTCTACTGAGAGAGGATGGGAGCTGAGGAGAGAGGAGGGGGCAGGGGGGAAGGGAACCAGAAATGGGAAGGTGAGGAATGGAAACAGGGTTTTATACCACTAATGGGAGAGAGAATGATGCCAGCATTCCATGGAATCCAGAGGGGTGGGGGTTTCTCCTTAAACTGGGAGCAAGCTTGGCTGTTGGTTTGTTTTATTTAATCTAATTAGTGAAATTTGGTTTTGTCTTGCATCTTTATGTTAGATGGATCCAAGAATCTTTCAGAATAATAGAATTTAGTGTCTCTTAGTTTTTACTTTTCTGAAGACAGAGAAGTAATAAAGCTGTTTGGATTCTTTGTTTGTTCCTTAGGGATGCTCAGTCTCTGAGTACGTTGTCCTGTTCCTGGACAGCAGAATAGTGGCCCAGGCTGCCCAGCCCACTGCAGTTTCTTAACACCCACACCCTTTCCTGGATGTCCCCAGGGGCACAAGCAAATAGTACATATTTCTTTAAGACTAGGTGAAGATTGCCTGGAGGAATCGATTTAACATAATCTAAGGAAAATCACCCTTACTCACACACACAAAACATGTTTATGATTCTGATGGCAGCTTGTCACACAGTCAGATGGGGCAGGGGTGGGTCGAGTGAGATGGGTGGGTCAGCAAGTTTAAAACATCAAAATATAGAACATATAAATCACCTACGTTTTAAGCTCATTGGTTTGTAGCATTCTTTAGGCTTTCTATTGCCATTTCTGCTGAATGTAAAGCTTCATGAAGAACAGCATTAATTGGATCCAAATAAATCCACACAATGAGTTTTAAAAAACTTGGACACAAAACATGCGCATTATCCAGAGACTGTCAGAGCCCATGAAAGTTGGCAGAGATGAGTTAGTGCTAGCCATGGGTTAAGTTTCCACTTCTTTCTACATACTCATCAAATTATTCAGGCTGATAGCTTTGGGAAAGGCATAGGCAATTTATCTGAAATGTTGGATCGGAAATAAAGCCCTTCAGAGGTGAGAGGGTTCAGCCTAGGGTAGACAGCCCCTATTTGGCTAACTGACCATTGACTAACAAACTGGATTTTTGCTACCCGCCCCCCCAGGTTCTTTCCTCTAAACGTACAAGATTCCTTCTTGTTAAATTAGCCTGGCACTGACCCCTAGTGGTCTCCCAGGAATTAGTTAATTCTCAGAAGGTTCTTAACCCTTCAGAAAGGAAACTCCTTTCAGATAGGTGACCATCTCACTAGCAATTGAATGTAAACCATTTAGCTCTTCTTGTTAACTTCAGTAACAACAGATGTGGAGTTTCAGGTGGGGATTTGAAGCAATTTAAAGAGAGTTATTTGCTCTTATAATTCAGGAGGAAATATCGTTAAGGCTTAGGAATGAGGGAAACACAATCATTTGCATGTTTCCATAAAGCTTTTGTCATTAAACACAAGTAATTTAGGATAAGCTGATATATTATGGTAGAAATAGGTTTCTCTATCAAGTTTTATAATGTAGGTGCAAACATAATCCCATGAATATCATATATTGTAAGAAACCCCTGATGCCCATGTTTTTACACTCTGAATTGTTATGGTAGCAACAAACCCAATAATTCTTTCTAATGTACTAAAGTGCTAAACTGTATTTGCAATGAGAAAAACCAAATTCAGAGTACGTATTTAGAAAAGCAATTTCCTAAAATCTTATTTTAGTTATTTTTTTCCTTGGATTCATTTCACATGATGGATAGCTAGATAGCTAAGTTGGGAATCATATTCATTTGTAGGAAATGTTACCGTGGGAGAGGCAGCACTAAGCATGAAGTTGAAGCTTTTGTCACAATTGATATGTTATTCAGGAAAAGTTGCTCACAAAGGCTAGGCATGCTATCTTGTTTGAAGAAGCCTCCAACGACTGGAATGTGCCTCCTTGAGCATTTTGCTGAGGGTATATTTGCAATCTGGCTGTGAAATATGGCTCAGTTTACTGGAAATAGCATAGTTTTATAGTCACAAGATGCTGTTGCATGCACTTGAGGATCTGAAAGTGCAATTCTGCAGACCATTTGAAGTTGACATATCCCCTCTGGGATGAAATAGGGTAAAATGTAAAATATATTCTCTCTGTTATCTGTGGGTATATGTTTCCATTCTGCCAGGCCTAGAAGTTTAAGATCAAAGTTTGACAGTATATATCTGACTTGGATACCATCTCAAGTTGAGTTGACTTTGTATTAACATAACTTAAAAATTTCCTGGTGGACAAAAGGTTTCAAGAGCATACTTGCTGAGTTTGTAGCCTTGTTTTTGATTTACGGACTCCAAAGGAGAATTTGATAACAGCCCTTCCCTCAGAGAACTCGCGGTCACCTGCTCTTTTGCATGACTGTCTTCTTGTATGATTCCCACCTTTGTGTGTTAGGATACACAAAAGTTCATAGTTCTTCATTTTATTATATTTAAGATCATTTCTCATTAAATGAGTCTTGTTTGAAGTATATTTCCTGGTTGATGACCACAAAATTGCATATATGCTGATTTCTGAGCACACATATGCATATCACATTCTGATTTGCTTAAAAAAATCTGAAATTCTAGCCAGAAGCTGGCAGACAGTGAACATTTTAAAAAACAGGAGAGGGGTAGTATTAAGAGATGTCTCACTTCTTTTAAGATTTAAGCTTTTCCTTCCGAATGACATGATCAGGTTGATTTTGAATAATACACTGTAGCACAGAATGGTTAGATGTGAAAATACATCAGGTGAATATATGAAATTAGGGTCTAAAGAATCAAAGACGGCTATGTCCCTGAATTGCAGAGGTGAGTAAGTCAGTAAATATTTAGTAAAATGTTTTCATCTTGTTGTCGTGTCTTGTGCAAAACCAGAAACTGGCTTTAAATATGATGAATTTTTATACCTCGAGGATGAGGACTTTTTCATTGGTTTAAAAGACTGACTGATTTTGCCCTTGGTGTCAAAGAGGCTTTTGCAAGAGCAGAGAAGATACTGCCTGCCCACTTACTGCCAGGGCTGCCAGTGGCACAGTTCATACCTGACTCACACACACCCACAACACAGGGGACCAGGATGGTAGAAACCATCAGTTTGTCTAAACAGTGAGCTGTGGGGAGTGCTTCAGGCATGAATGAATGAGAAGACTGGTGACATTTTCTTTCAGAAATATTCACTAGAATACCTCCAAGGGAAAACCGTTTTCTGCCTGGCAGAGCTCAAGCTAACCGGTTATAGCTAAAATCCTTCAAATACAGTGTTCATATGATTCTCTAAGACATTCAAAAACATGTCATTGTCTCACGCCTCCTCATTTTCCAACCACATTTTTATTCCTGCTTGAGAAAGCTCCATAAATAAAAGGAAAGCTCTAGGTTATGCCTCAGTTTCCTGTGTGTGTGTGTGTGTGTGTGTGTGTGTGTGTGGACATGCATTGTGCTGCTAGATAGTTTGAAACTTGAGACCTGACATACATGTCTGCCACATTCATCATGACAAAGAATAGTGTCTTGACACAGTACGTGGCAATCCAGAAACAGTCAAAATGTCAAATAACAGCAACAACAACAATCGTGAAGGTGGACACATGGGAGCAGATCCACATAAACCGCCAGCAATGGGTTTCTGTTTCTTCTTCTTCTTCTTCTTCTGTGGTCACTCTTACTCCCTCCATTTCCTGGAGCGTCAAGCAGAGATCAAAGGTTTTATCTTATATTTTCTATTATGTAAATCAGCTGTATCCAAATAGCCTAGGTTAGCTGACTGTAGTCGGTGTCATCTTGTGGAGATATCACTTACCACTGGGCCCACAGCCTTTTGCTGTGGGATGACAGCAGCGTCACACACCCTACGCCGCTTAAGCCAATGTAGAAGTTTCCACTGAGTTGTTGTTTGTTCACTGTTGCTGCAGGAGGTTGTAATGAGAACGAGGCAGATCACTTGGACCGGGACCAGCAGCCTTATCCGCCTTCACAGAAGACCAAACGCATGCGAACTTCCTTCAAGCACCACCAGCTCCGGACCATGAAATCCTACTTTGCCATCAACCACAACCCGGATGCCAAGGACCTCAAGCAGCTTGCTCAAAAAACAGGCCTGACCAAAAGAGTTTTGCAGGTAAGACACATCCATCATTGGCTTTGTGTATATCTCCTCCCTTCCCCCTTGACAGTGACTAGTTCTCTTCCCTAATCACCTGGAGACATGATATTTCCGGTTCTGCTTCCTAGTAGTCTGTTTCCATAGTTATCTTCCCACAGGGGCTTCCTGGAGGGTACTCAAGGAGATGTCCAGGACTCAGGTTCTCCCTACAGATGGAGATGTGGGCTCCAAAGCTCCATTGCTGTGTAAATGGCATTGGCTTTATTTAAACGAGTGTTGCCTGTAGAAATGCCCACTCACACTGGGTTTAGCGTACTAGTTTCTAAGGATCTGCAGTCCCATGTCTACAAACTCTTGGCAGCTCACTCATGTTGGGACCTTCCAAACTCAGGTGGCCCGCCCCCAGCTCTTGAATAGTTGAAGGTAAGGCTAATATCTCAGCAAGCAGTTGGATCAAGAATTTTTCCATTTTAACAAGCTGTTATTACTAATCCAGAGTTCTTCCCGGTGTTGAATTGCCCCCCCGACTTATAGTAAGGATTATAAAATGATCCAAGGTTGCTATGAGTGACCTGTGATCTCCCCCTCAATGGCAAGTAGCAGACATTTTCTGTTCTCTGGCTGTTTGGGGTCTGTGGCTGGGTAGAGTATTACTGTCTGTAGTAGAGCATTTGTCAAGTGTCAGGCTAGCAAACAGCTGGTGGTGTTCCCTTCATGTGAGTAGTGCCTACTTTGAGACACTTGTAGTGACCCTGTTTCTCCCTGTTCTTTTGAGGGATGATGGTGTATTTTCCCCTAGTCTCTATGCCTTTGTTTCCATGGTTTCTCTGCTCCAGCAACAGTTATCCCAAGTGCACATTTACTGCAGGAATATATGTACAGTTAAGAGAGAATAACTCTATTCTATTACCTGAATTAGTCTGTCTTGAAAGAAGTAGAAAATGTCCACTTTCTTTCCAAGAAAAAAAATGATATTTAAAAGGACAAATAGAGCAAAGAGAAGGAAAAAGAAAAAGAGAAAAAAGGAAGAGAGAGAAAAGAACTTAAAAAAAATCGATAAAGAAATCAATTGGGATTGGTTTGCAGGTTTGGTTCCAAAACGCACGAGCCAAATTCAGAAGGAACCTTTTGCGGCAGGAGAATGGGGTTGTTGATAAAGCTGACGGCACGTCGCTTCCGGCCCCGCCCTCAGCAGACAGCGGCGCTCTCACTCCACCCGGCACTGCGACCACTTTAACAGACCTGACCAATCCCACTGTCACTGTAGTGACATCTGTGACCTCTAACATGGACAGCCACGAATCCGGAAGCCCCTCACAAACTACCTTAACGAACCTTTTCTAACATTGGTTTTTTATTTTTTATTTTTAAAGGATTCTTCCTCTTTTTATTATTATTCTAATATCATTATTTTATTATTTACGAGACTTTTTTTTCCTTCTCCTAACCCACAAGATATTTGGGGAATAAAATAGCAGCTTGGTGTGTAGCATCTACACCACTTGGCTATGAGTTTACAGTATTGTTGCTTTTAAGTGAACGTATTTTGTCTACAAGGTGTACTTGATCTTTTTTCTTTAATCAGGTTTTTGTTTTTTCTAGTTGGTAGGGGGAGATTTTGAATCATTCTATTAAGTGCCTCTTAAAATTGTATGTTACTTATTTCCAGAATTTCAAAGGGATAAAAATGGATGATATTATGATGGGCAAAGCATATTCCTGTTTCTGTGATCAAGTTATTAATGAATCAGACACTGTTAATTGTTTTTTAAATCTTATAATTTAAAATTTTCATATTAAAAATTAAAGACAAAAGTACTATTACTGTCTTTTTTTATACCTGAACTATTAATTCAGGTGAGGGATATGATTAAAGGAAACATTAGCATCAATTTTAAATAGTAATGATTAACTGGGTGGGAAGTCTAACTCAGGAATGTAACTTTTCCTATTGTTAGGGCTTTACACCCCCCATTTTACTGTTTTTCATATTTAAAAAAACTTAAACTCCATGTGTATCCATGGAAGTTACACTTAAAATGTGAAATTCTGTATTTTGAACTCCTACATTAGAGAGAGAGAGAGAGAGAAAGAGAGAGAGAGAAAGAGAAAGAGAAAGAGAAAGAAGATGCTTTTTAGTCAGTGTTTGAAGCTATTCATTTTACTTAACCTTTTTTTCCTGGAGAAATGGAAATAAGCAAAATACAATTTTTTAAGAAGTAAAAAAGTTGGCATATATTAATTAATAATTAATTGGCTTCAGCTGTACCATGATATTGTATCTGGCATTCTACATAATGTCTTAGTTTTTTTAAACCAACTTAGTAAACTAATACCAACAATGAGAATTACTTGGTTTTTCTTTATTTTTTAAACCAACTTAGTAAACTAATACCAACAATGAGAATTACTTGGTTTTTCTTTATTTTATTCTGGCACGGGTTGATTTATGTATAAAAATCTTTTTAATATTACAGATGTGAAGTTATAAGTCTTAAAGTAGATAAACTCAGAAGCCTTGTGGATGCTGATCTGAATATATTTCCTAGTTTACAGCAGCATTTTTTTTTCTTTTAATTTAAGGTGAAATCTTAATGGTCTGGGCAGTGGTGAATGTTCATCTATCTGCTTCTGTTGTAGTTAAAAAAATCAACTAGATTGTGGATTTCCTAAAATAATAAAGAAGTCAAGATCTATGTCTTGCTTTAGTGGATTGTTAAGAATGACTTTGCACATACTGTCCACTTTTTTGCACCCCTTAAATCTCCTCTGGTGGTCGAAGTGGCTATTTAATAGATTTTAAAGGTGCCCTTCTGGCTGTATAAATGTGTGGTTACATATCGACAGTTCACTGCCCACATTAAAGTGCATTATTGTAACTTTTGCTCAGGGTCTTTAGAAAATTAGCACAGAAAGTAGCTTATTTTTTAAAAAAAAGATGATGGAAGAGAAGTTAACACTGTAACAGAAGAAAAGTGTGATCGCCATTATATATTTAGCAAGTGTGGTCATCTTCTATGGAGCTTAAATCTTGACTTTTCATATTTCTCTTACATTTTGGGCATTTACCACTAACCAGACCAAACAACCTTGTTAAGGCTGAGATCTTATTAACACATTTTTACAGGTAAAATATCGATACTTAGAAATTTTGTTCTTTGACAGAACAATATATGGTACTACAGATCTACTTTATTAAGTAGACTAATTATAACTCAGTTCTCCTATGTGCCTTATGATATAACTTGGAAATAAGTTTGTGAGAAATCAGGATATATGTGTTGTTTGTTAAATTAACTGTTTTAAGCCCTTTGACACCTCACTAGTTTTGTACTGTTTTACCTCTTATTTCTGAAACTCTTTTTATGGTGTATCCTGTTAGAGGGGACAAACATGTCATAGAAAGCAGTTGTGCACTCTTTCAAATATAGTTGATAAATCCAATAATCTTATATATTGAGCTTCGTGTTTATAGTACAGTAAGTGGTCTAGCAAAATTGTCCATGTTCCTTTGTTTATTGATAAATGCATTGTATAGAAACTATTTCCCCTAAATATTTATGGACCAAACAATTGTGATATATCCTATTAAATTTGTGTGAATAAACCATTTTGAATCTAAGGAGTTTTATTTCCCATCAGTTTTACTTGTATTAGTATGTTTTCAATATCTATCTGTAAAGGTTAAGAAATAGCAGCACAATTAAAAAAATCAAAGAGAAGTAGTTCTTAGGTTTCCAAACTTCTGATTCATATTAAATACACACACCATTGTATATAAAATGTGATTAAATCTCGAATTACCACTAAATATTCTTGTTTATAATAAAAGTAATGCCCCACTGATTTGACTCAGTTCAATTTTTAGAATAAAAATAAATTAGCAGATCCATAGTTGCATGAAAAGAAACCTTAAAGATGATTAAGATTTAATATCAGGTCTATTGAGCACAAGTGGATATTTGTAAATCTAAATAGAAATTGCAGACCCCTAAAAGCCAAGTTGCTCTGTAGTTAATAAATTGTCACTATGATTTTTTTTCAGGGAGAACAAATCTTGGGGCATTACAGCCAAACATCCCGACGTTTGAAAATTCCCTAAAGTATTAAAAGAAGGGGAAAAGTTTGATCGGAAATCCACTGCAGTGAAGACAAAGACACTATTAGGTTATGATAATCATACATTTAAAAGTTTATTGAACCAAAAGAGAGAAAGAGAGAGAGAGAGAGAGAGAGAGAGAGAGAGAGAAAGAGAGAGACTTAAGTGTCATTTATTGAATGTCAACAAAACTTCTGTTCTTTATGATGTCTCACACAAATAAAGGCATAACACCATGTGGTTTAATCAAAGAGCGAAATAAACCATGTAGAAAACCAGAGAAACCTGACAATAATACGCCCTCCCCACGTTTGGAGAATTCTATTACTGAAACAATCGCACACATTTGTCAAGCACAATAACTGTAAAATAAAGACCCAAAGCATCCATTTCATCTGCTTGCTAATGTGTATCAGTCCTATCTCTTAATGTCATTTTTCCAACTGTAAATTCAAAGAATACCTTTTCCTTGTGAATGAGAGCACAGGGACCAAGCCCGGTGGTTTTCGAATGGCTGTCTATAATTCCTTTTTAAACAGAAGGCTGTGCATGCCCTTCCGCATCCGTCACCTCTAGTGTACATCTCTGTAATGATGACTTTGCTGTTTCCTGTATGATAAATAGCTTTCATTAATAAACATTTTATTTGATGCAAACATAGTTAACTTTATGTTAAGCACACATTGTTGAAATTAATTTTGAACACTGTCTTAAAGAGTCAGGACAGTACACTTGCAGCCTGTTATGCCCAAAGTAAGTGGGGGGAGGGAGCAGACTAGAGAATTAGATGAAATTATTTTGTTTGATTTTAACTTCTATGGCTTATTTTCATTTATTGTTTTCAGTGTACACATGATGAAAATAAAATAGTAAGTCCAAATTACAGCAAAATGGACATCAGAAAAGTTATTATCTAAAATCTCAACAATCTTTTTTAGATTCTAGGGTAACATAGATTCTCTGTGAGTTTACATGTTCACTATGCAATGAGAAAATTTATTGAAGTATATGAGTATATTCTGAACTCTGACATTTAGTTCTGTGAGTAGTTCAGGTTGCACAAGGTATCAGAAACAAAGGATCAATGGGGAACAAATATTTAGGAATGAGGTTTCTTTTCATCATTAAAGGGAATACTTGAAGAAAGAATTTTGTAAAGCTACTCTTACTTGCTCTATATCCAAAGCACATGTTAAACAAATTAGCATATAGAATACTTTCCAGAAAAATTTCCCTATGAAATTTTTATTATGTACAAGTAAACCCTATGTAAAGGATGTAAGTTTTACGAATGATAGGCATTTTAAAAACTCACTTATATTTATTCTCAGAACTTCGAATGTTTTCTCAAACACTTTCATTTCCTGAATGCTAAACAATAAAGAAAAGGTGATTAAAGGTCAAGTACCAAGTAAACTAACAATGCACCCAGAATGCACCGTGACAAGTGAACTACTTTGAGTGATCATGGAACATGTTGGTTTTGTCAGTCACTTGGATGTTTTTGCCTCACCAAAATTCTCATCCATAGCGCTGGCAACCTGAATGGATTTTCGAACACATTTTCAGGCAGTGTGTTGAAATCTCGGTCCTGTAGGCTTTGCCTTCTTTTCCTGTTCTGTCACCTAGGGCAGTTTCATTTTGAAGTATTTTGGAAGTTCGCCTGGTTTTTGCAGACTTTTAACTATTTGTCTGGTATGTGAAATGTGGGAAGAGACCAAAGAGAGAAAGAACGTAGCTGAAATTAGACATCTGAAAAAAATAATACAAATTTGAAACAGGCACTTTTTTTTAAGAAGAGGAAAAGAACTCTAATTATGTGAAGGGAAGTGGAAAAATCACGTGACACAGGCTTGGAAGGTCCAGCACACTTTCCTACGATGTACGACAGTCTTCAGTCTGGGCAAGCACATTTAGTGTTTGGCATAGATTAGAAGACTGAGGACATTTTAGATGGATGCAGGACACCAAATTTTATAGCTTCTACCTCCCCAAATGCCTAGATGAATCTAACATCTGGCAAACTGATCCTAGGAACAAAAACTCTTACCGACAATATCTGTGAACTTTGATTAATACCATTGTAATACTGACTTAACGCAGCAGGTAACTTTTTGATACTTCAAATAGAGTAAAACTTCATAACATAGAAACCAAAGCACACAGCTCTTAAAGCCTTGGTGATTTTCATTACCTAAAAATGCCAATAGCTTTACTCAGCAGAATCCCAGTTGAATTCACTGTACAGTTTTCAGAGTGAAAGCTCTTTTACTAGCCACACATGAAATGGCATTGTTTTCCATTGCCGTGTGCCTGCAGAGAACACTGGCGTGAAACATCAGAGATGGAAAGTACTGGGACAAAAATGTGGCATTCTATCATTTTAGGATTTTAAGGAAAGTCAAGAGATAATGCTGTTATAAAAATATAAAGTTTTGAATAGAATAGAGTTTTGTTATTTCCCTTTAAACTGTGTTACTAGCACAGAAGCCTCAATTGTAGAAAGATTACAAACTGTCAAGGAGATACAACACCTTTTATACTTTATGGTCACTAGCCATCAGGGGGCAATAAGGACACTGAGGTTTAGTCTAGACTAAATAAATAATGTTGCATTTTCTTTGAAACTGCATATAGAGAAGTTTTGGCCTGTTTTGACTTGTGGATGAATCTATTTTCTATTTCTAGTAATGAGAAGTCAGTTTTGAAGACTGAAATGAAATACAGTGGCCAAACAATAAACCTCTGATATACAATTCTTTGCTTAACAATGTCAATAATTTGAAACAGTCTCTTTAGATTTTGCTATTGATTTGTGTCTTTTTGGATCATACTTATTTTGTCTTTGTAATATTTTTCAAATTAGAATGATTTCCCATATTTTCAAAATAAAATCCCAAGGTAAAATATTTTTTAATGCTTCCTGGGATCATTCCCATTTTATTTTTCTGGAATTCATATAAAAAAGAAACAGTTCAGAGCTGTGAATGATGCTCAATGCTCAAGGAGGTCTCTGAAGAGGAAGTAAGCAATAGAGTGATTGGCAGGATTCATTTCCTTGTTAACTATGTTGCAAAATAAATGTTTCAAATCAGACGGCATCCTCTGCTTTATACATTTCTTTGTGAATAGTAACAACAACAACGAAAAGTAACCACCCCAAACATGGATCCGTTGACAAGTTTCTTTTCTTGTGGATTGTTAATTTTTGCTTCTTTGCATTACATTTTATCTTGTGCCAAAGTGACAAGAAACAGGCAAGGATAAAAATTCAGGTATCAGCCATGGGTATTAAGTTCTGGTGTCTGTTTCTGTGTCCCTTCAGGTCACTTGTTAGAAGCATTAGGAATGTTTCTTTCCTTTGGACTTTTTCTGTTTGCACTGTGCATGATCTCATAAATTACTCTGAAGAGTACCTGGATACCTTTTATGGTTATTTGAAAATAAAATTTGCTACAAATAAGTCGCTTTGGTTTCTGTTGATTCATATCATGTGTGAATGTGCTAATTTTTTATACTTTCACATAGAAACAGAAAGCTTTAACATTTGAGGATATTTAAATTGTTATTAGTGGCAGACAAACAAAAATGAAGAAATTCAAAGGTGAGATTGCCTTTACTTTATCATATTCATTTTCTTCTTTTCCTTTTCCAGAGTAGCAAAAGCCACAATGAGCAGTTAGCTTTGACTTTGACATTGAAGGCTTTCGAGAGGCTGTATCACTTAACGTTAGATTTATTACTCAGCAAACTTTAATTCTGTAGACTAAATGCCCTTTATGAAGTGTGTTTTTTTTGAAAAGCACAGAGGTATTTCAGGATTTCAAACAGCTGTTTGAATTCTGAAGGCAAGAATAGTTTCTTAAAAGAAAAATGGTGGGAAATTCTTTTAAATGTAATATTCATAGAATTTTTAATAAAGTAAGCTAGATACTAGACAATTTTTAAAGAGCTACAAAATTGTTATGAAGTAAATAATTAAATGATGGAATTTATCTATGCCAAAAATTGGGATAGCTTACTCCATAAAATATGATCACAAAGTTGCCTTATTTTTTGTATGCATATTTGCACATTTCAATGACATGCACATGTTTATATTTTCAATGTTACTGATTACTCTTAAATTCAACAGTATTATCCTGTTGTGTGCATGTATATATATTGAATATCTTATTTCTATTACCTATTAAAACTAACTGTTAATGAAATGCAAAGCAAACAGTTAAATAATGACAATTATTTGATTCAGGTGACAAGCATATTTTCACTAAGTAACCTGTGCTTATGTTCTTACACATTTGGTGACAGTAATTTTCTGGGTTCTGTGTAGGTTACTTTTTTCCTTCAGCTTGGCCATAACTTTTCCGTTAATTGGAACTTCTATCTTTTGTTGTTGTTGTTTTTTGTTTTTTCTTTTGTTTTTGAAACAATGTTTCCCCGTGTAGCTTTGGAGCCTGTCCTGGGACTAGCTTTGTAGGCCAGGCTGTTCTCCAACTCACAGAGATCCACCTGCCTCTGCCTCC